ATGACCGAGTTTAGAGAGGGGCAGTTTCCGAAAAAAGCTTTCACTTCTTCGCAACAGAATATAGTAAGAAGGGAAAAAGCAAGAGACACTCAAACAGCTTCAATAGTCAGAAAATAAGTTGAAAATAGTTGAAAATGAGCGGAATAAGTTTACTTCAACTCCAACAAATTCAGTAACATCACGCGCCATAACTCACAAGATTTAAGCTTACAAGGTCAAAAAGCAACGTATATCAGATAAACATTTCCCAAAGAAAACCGATTGGAGCTCAAATATTTAGCCTTCGTGTCCCGAATTCAGAAAAAAAGTTGAGTATCACAAGAGTGCTGAATTATAGGAAAGTCAGACCCTAGCAGTAATCAAACCATGAAACAATTCAAAACGTGAAAACTTTCAGCCTCGCTGTTCATTGCCGATATCGGCTAACCGGCTCATGGCGATAGAAGTGTGGTGCTAAAAGGCAACGGCACGAAAAAGCTATTGAGCTGAGAGGATAAGAGCAGCCTCGGTAGAGGAATAGATAACGCAACCGCCTGGTAAGCGGGAGATGCGGTTTTGGAACCCGTGTGGGGTCTGACTTTTGCTCCTAACTCAGCACTCCTGTGATGAAAATTGAGTAAGTTATATAAACTTACGTGACCGTAACAGCATTCTTTATGAGCTGCATTGCGAACTTTACAACATCTTCACCGTAAGTCGCCGAGAAGAGCATGGTTTGAACACCAGGTGAGTGCTTTTCGATTGTTCTGGAAATACATGGATTCAGAAGAAAAAACAAAAAAAAACACCGGGAAACACTAGAAGGTCAGATTCTGTCAGAACACTAGAAGGTCAGATTCTGTCAGAAGAAGTGTCATTCATGCTCAACCACGGAATCTGAGCTATTTGATTACCCTATATTTCTATATTTTGAAGTATAAGGCTTATAGGACGTCCGTTCATTTTTACACAAAGTGCAGAGATGCATAAGAAAATACGATAACATAAAGTTTCTAGGCGAAACGGCAGGTTTTTGACCTTTTTTGCATATCTTTTATCTTTATCTATCTTTTAAATATACTTTTTATTGAATACGGAACACTCACACGGACAATAACAAACGAAAACAACAGAAAAGGGTGATGAATTTTCGCGAAGTTAGAGGCGAAGATGTGCCCTATACAAAGTGGGCTTTGTACCCCAGAAGGTAGGCCCAGATATTTCGTCTGGCCTTTTTTCCTTCGAAGTAAATCATCGAGAATCTCAGTGCAGTAGAAATTTATGTAATGGCCAAACAGTTCCTTCTAGAGCCCAATACAGGGCGGAAGACAGCGCCTACCATTCAAGTTTACGCTGCACAGGGTGACAATGTGCAGAGCAGTGGTAATATATTCTTGAGAAGTCTTCGCATAAGCAGAGACGAGCCTTTCACCCCTGCCAGCACCATGGCTAGAAGGTTTAAGACAACGTTTACTACCGAAGAGCTTGAAAACATCCATAGCATTAAAGCAACTTCGTGAGGAATGTCGTTCTTACGACGGAAGCCATCAACTAGTAGATATTTGACAACGTTGCTATAGTTTATGAATTGTTTTTCAGGTGTTTTTGAATTTTGATAGCTGCTTTTAACGCCGCAGTGCGCGTGACGAAATTCATCACAAGAGCTGAGTTATGACAAAAGTCAAACCTCAGACGGCACTCGAAATCGCATCTCCCGCTTACCGGAGCCATTGAGCTGAGAGGGTAAGAGCGGCCCCGGTATCGTATGGATAACGCAACCGCCTGGTAAGCGGGAGATGCGCGTTCGAGTCCCGTCTGGAGTCTGACTTTTGCCCAAAGCACTCTTGTGATGATTGTTTCTCATGACTCGATCCTTTTACAGGGAAGGATAGTGGTTTCCCACGCATATTCATTCGACGCATTCTGAAGAGAGAAGGGTTTAAAGATGTGTCCAAAGTGAAGGTGTGAGGTATTCAATCATCACGTCACTTGTGTTTTTATGGTGTGCTTGATGAATGGAGTGCTTTTTTGCTTCCCCAGCTTACGCACACTCGAATCTTCCGATAGCAGCGTACATCATCGTTGTGGAAATCACAGCAAGCTGGGTCGTATTTTACCGCTAGATGGGAATAGGATCGTCAGTCAGCACTGAAGAATGATCAAAAGGAAGACAGTAAAGTTTTGCACTTTACCATAGGGCCCTAGGAACACATGTCCCTGCATGGGCAAACATCACGTAGAAGGTACACTTTGTTGCCAAACCTTGCGTGGGCGTCAAATTATATGGCGCGATAAAGAAGTGAAATTAGTCTGATCCAAATGAACTATTTCCTAGTGATTCGGACAAAAAGACGAGTTATAAGCAGGGTTGAGTCCTTAAATAAAGCAGAAGTGGTATGGTTCCGGAAAAAAGGGGGGAGTGGTTGACCTTGAATACTGGATGTGCTAGACACCATGGAAATCCGACTTTACGTTCACTTTCAACAAAGTAGGACGGACAACCGTTCGTTGATACTACCTGATAAAGAATAGCTGGAAAAGCATCCCGATACAATTAGACCAAGGTGGAACCGATATTTGTTGGAGAATGCAAACCTATTTAGTGTGTCCCGGATACCATGACTAATTAAGAGCAAATCGGATGTGAACTGGCGGACTAGCAGTCCGCCGCAACCTACGGCACTGGCACCTGCATAGTCCGGGCTTCTGACCCACACCAAGACAGTCTTTCCTCACTCCGAGGCCGAATCTGGTATAGGACTTCAGAGAAACC